GAAACAGGAGATAGGGGGGGGGGAATGGGCGTGCATATGGCTAAAATCGTTAATACATGTTAGCCTTACGCGCTTTGAATGGGCACTGTCTCAAAATTGCAGGTCACAATCGAGTTCCTCATAAGGAGGACTAGGCTGCTGTAGGACCAACGGCTGCAATCGTTGGCATCCCTTGCACCTCGGAACAGTAGGACAGCCTTCCAGGATAGGCGATTCAAGGACCCAGATTTATGGTCAGACAGCCGATGTCAATTTGCAGCTTGAAAGCAGCCCTCAGCCCTGATAGACGGAAGGCCGGGGACCAGTAAGAAATGTCGGCGATGTTACCTGGCTCTGTGGGAAGGAGTAACTACCAAAACGTCTCGAAGAAAATGTTGCTGATCCGCAAATGTCATCCCAAAGAGCCCAGGGAGCTCGGAAGGGCTGGTCATCTACAAACCTCTGGGAACGCCTCAAAGATTCCCTTTGTATGCAAGGCCCTCTCCAACAATGGTCCCACTGTACGCGGCCTCACAGCCTTACAAACAACCAAAAAAACGATCAGCGCTTCGTGTACAGAGGCCATGTTTTGCCTGGCGTCGGGCTTTGGCGCTGGCTTCCTGTGGGCAGACTACTTGCAGATCCATGGAGAATTATAAGCCCCCCCTCCGGCCCCAGACAGAGATATGACCAAAACGACAACATACCCTGGATGCAGCCACCTACAATGTGGAATGGGCCCCGAAGAAGAACCAACCGAGAAGAGAAGTCTGCGGAACTGCCAGGAGAACCCTACGGCCTACGATCTATCACAGGGATTCTCCACACGGCACAATGCTCTCGCGAACCCAAGGTGTGCACGATATAATATTGCAACTGCAGGGGCATGGCAGGGATTCTGCTTAAGGGACTATCCACAAGGTTGAGAAATTACTAGAATCTTCCATCAGATGCAGGGAGCCTGGACACCTTTCAAAGGGTGGTGCTGGGTGGTAGGGCCACAGAATGCTCAAATTGAATCAGACCTGAAGCGTACACTACATGTATTGCTGCCACCTTGCTTGGATTCTATCTTGTGCTCTGCGAAAAGACACTGCAAACACTGACCCCCCAACTCAAAACCTCGATTACTCCCTTAAGCCTAACGCACTCATCCCTCAACTCTAAACTGTAATCCCCGCAGGTACCCAAAGCAAGCCCTCAAGTCCTGCAGCGTGCTCTCACGGCGTTTCCGCGGCAGCTGCGCCTGGCTTGTGGACTATCTGATTGCCCAGGGAAGAGATGGGGTTTCTCCAACAGGGGTAACCTTGCAGGGTGTGGAATTGGAGCTGCAGGCTTTTGTGTTCTGGAAGTTTCTGTCTAACGAGTCTTGGGTGTGCTGATGATTCCGGATGTAGCGCGTTTGGAGGGTAGGGTGTTAGGCTTTTAAGTTAAAGGGGGAACGTTAAGGGGCACGGCCATCTCTCAGCATCGGAAGCAAATCAAAGGGCTTCCAGCTCAGAACTACATGAGGATGATTAGCTGATGTCATTGGGACACGGCAGAACGGAATTGTTTGATTGTGGGACTCGGTTGATTGCTTTAGAAGGTTGAGTTGGCAGTTTGAAGGGCAGAGTATAATGGGCACGCAAGAGGTCAGGGAGCAACAGCAGCTATCTGCCAGGCTCTTCCGGAAACTATATTGCAGACATCTGTTACGATGAATGCCAATGATGGGCAGGAGAACTTCAGGAACCATCAATGCTTGCTAGTGCAACACAAAGCGAGACCCCTCGCGCATCTGCTGGCTACGCAGGTTGCACATGGAGCGTATACAAGCCACGACAGCTTGACAGAGTGAAAGGTAAGGTCGCTGATCGGAGTAGACAGCCCACAGAAGAACACTACGAACAGCATCTTGCGAGGAAGGCTTGTCTTTGCCGCGCAGACAGCGCGTCTGTGTCAATCTCGGTGCTATGCCTGTATATTGTGTTGCAAAATGTTGACAAGGCTCTGAGCTGGACCGGGCAATTTTGTCCTTCGCGACGAAACAAAGATTCGCCCTTCAGCGATCTCGCACCAGCGCGCGCTGTGTCGTGCGTGAAGGTGACTGGCGATTTGCTACTTGGAGTGAGTTTGGCTGATGTTAGGGACAGCACCGCACTTGGCGCTTGCACTGGCCGCTCTGCAAGTGGCCAAACTGGTCACAGTCTAGCCAGGTGTGCGCTCCTACCTCACTGGCAGCTGCAGTGATGGCGCTGCGCAGCACGGAAGTAAGATCTGAAAGGCTTTGAATGATGATGTGGCCTTAGCCAGCTTTCCGAAGATGTACTTCCGTGGCGCACTAATGGCTTTCACCTACTTTCCTAAGCCTCAAGACTGAACTGTGCATCTTGCCCGTCCTAAACTGCTAAACGCCTCTCACAGAGTTGCGGGACCTTCGGGCACCAGCTGCACAGAGTGCGGGCCGGGCGCCAAGAGCAGGCTATTGCCGCGGTCTCGGCAAAACGTCACTATCTGCTCTCCCTTGCCACGGAATGACAAAGAATGAATAAGTTGAACACTGGTAAGCGAATTTGGCAAGGGAGGGGGGCTGAGGGGGCTCTGCCAGGCCGAGCTGTAAACTCGGGTCAGTGCCTGCACGGTGGTCAGAAACACCTGGCTGCGGGCGTACCCAGCAGCTTGTTTGACTGCCAGTAATTATCCTTCATGTTGCTCAAGTCACTGCAACCTCTTCTAACTGTCCAGGACCTCCTCTTGACCAGGCATGTCACTTCATACTACAGCAGCAGCAAGATCACACAGTGAGAAACCGACAGTGCAAGGTCTATTGGGTTAATCAAATCGCCCAGGCGCCTCGCCCAACAAAGCCCTACTGCTGCTTGCACTCCTCCTTGCCCTGGCGACGCCAAAGACAATCTGCAGCAGTCACACGCAAGACTTCTGGGTTTTTTTCTTAATTATTAGACATCTGTTCCAGCCGGCATCACAGCATCCCATCACATGGCCACAGACACCGAAGACTTTCACGAATTGGGTGCTGTGAGTTGGGTTTGCAAGTTTGTAATCCCCAAGACGAGGAACGTCTGGCGTCTGTTGAGGTTAGTAGGCGGAATTCTGGCAACAGTCAAGCAAAGCGGGGCCTCCAAACCATGTGTCCAATGGATGGTTATGGCATGATGATGAATAGGAAATATGAAAGACAAGCACTTGTTGGACCTCCGTAGGGAAATTTCTCCACAAAAAAACTGGAACAGGCAAGTGAGCATCTTGCAGCTACTAACTCCGATAGCCCCTGCACCTCTCCAGGGCCATCTTTCTTGCCAGCCTGACAGTACAGCGCGTGGGCTTCAGCATTCCAAGGTTGAGGAGTCCATATTGTGTTCCCACACTTCTTGATTTACTCTTAATATTGATGCGCTGTTCGGGACCCATATCAACAAGATGATTGCGCAAGGTATGACAAGCGCTTGTGTTGTCTAAAGCTGTGACTAATCGCTTTCCCTTCGTTCATCAACCTCTGCTAGACTGCTAGAACGCGAGATAACAAAGTCGAGTATGCCAGAATCTCAAACTTCGGAAAATCGCTTGAGGAAGAATTAGAATTTGGCCCAGACATAGGAAATCATTCCTTGTCCACTCGACCGTTAGACAACCTTCACCGTGGTTCAGCACCCTTGGCCTTGTTCAGAACCCCTTGACGACCTCCTTCCCAATGCCTGTGTCCCAGATAAATACCACCCCGCATTTGCAGTGTATTAGTCTACATTAGGCCGTGGGGAGGGGGCGAACGTTACAAAGGAAAAACACTAATGAACCATGCTATCTAGACTCTGAATTAACAAGACATGACATCAAGACTTGAAACTTCAAAGGAAGATTGGTCATAACCTGGTGATAACTTGAATGCCGTTCTAAGCGAGGAAGCAAACTTTCGTCCAGCAACCCCCCCTCCCTAACCGTAAAAAGGCAGCTATTGGGTCTCAGACCCTAAACCCAGCACGCTGTCATCCCTGCCTTCCCTCTGGCAGGTGGCTTGTAGCCCTTCTTGGGGCGCTCCTCCTCCTCCTCTTCCTCATCGTCGTCCTTCGAGGCTTAGGTTTAGGGCTTCAGGCGTGGAGCTTAGGGATCATCCAGGGCCAGGAGCTCAGGTGGTTTCAGGAACACAGAATATCCCTGATTAGCACAGGGAAGTTGAAAAGTCACGGCTGGCGGGCACGCAAAAGCGGAATTCTGTGGGAATCATTCTAGGCAGGACGCCTTCCCGCACAAGGCCCCAATTTCCCATTGTGAGGTCAATGTGCTACGCAGCTGGGCTCTGACAACCAAAACTGACCTTTTCGATTATCGCTGCCAACGCCAACCGGGTTATGCCCTGGAGACTGCCAAACTATTCCAATCCAGATCTGGCAGCTCTTCAGAGTTGGATGTCTGAGTCCGGTTGAAGGTTGAGATCTGACAAGGATTAGGACAAGTGCGCCCCAGTACTACCGTCAAAGCAACTGCCGAGGTGGCTGCATCATCATCGTCATCTTCATCTTCGTCCTCCTGAAGGGTGCGTTTGCGCATCCTATGGCTACTAAAGAAATGAGGGATACCCGTATGGAGCCTTTTGATACCTGTTGCGGTACGATTTGCAAATCAATCGCAAAGTGAGCCCAGGCCTCCAAGTGGCTGGATCTAAGAAAAGGATGGAGGAATCTCCTACCGGCTATTCCTGATTTAGTTTTTGGGCTGGACTTAGTTGACTTATGGTTTGGAAAATGCAGCACATGACAAAGTGGGATCCAGTACCTCAAGCCTGTCAAGACACTGAACCTTCACTGACAAAGACTCTGAATACAGTATTTCCCAAGGCCGAGGCCTTGACCCCCAACCCTTGCTGCGTGGTTCCGCCTCCTCATCTTCGTCAAACCCATGATCCTGCAAGGTGACACAAAGAAACACAGATTTTGCCTGCGCTCTCACTCTCGTATCATTAGTACTGCTACTGCCATTGCTAGCGGCTAGCGCGACTGCTGCTGTAGCAAAGACGCTTCATGCCCAAGATGCTATAATCGTTGCCACTTTCTTTCTCATCCCACTATATTACTACATAATTTGTTCATAACATTACTACAGTAATATTCCAAACATTGCTACAGCGACTGTCACTGTACCATCAATGAACGTCAAACCTGCCTCTGGAGCTGCCTCGCCGGTGTACCAGCGCACTGCGAAGGGGATCAGCTGATCTCGCACCTAATGCTTTCCAGACTTTCCATTCATGAGAACCGTTGATGCGGAGCAGACTCCTATCTGACTTTGAACTGCATTTCGTCTTGCGCAATCTGGTGGTAGCTGCGGCTTCGCTGATATGCCCTGGCTGCGGCTTAGAAAAACACGTGCTTGCATCGCCATAGCTTCTCGCAGTTGAGGCAAAACACTGAAAAGCTCCTGTAATATGGGTTGCCTCTAAGGCTCCGGACCGCCGGCACCCTTCTACGATGTTTACACTTTCTGGTTCTGCGAACGACCCAGACGAGACAAGTCTTGGAGCGCTGACGCAGCAGCCAATTTCGTAGTCGTTCTCCTGAGCACTCACATCTGAGATCGGGTCCCACAGTTGTTCAGAGATCCCCTGAGCCGGCATGAGGACTCGTGCCAGCCTGAAATAGCTACATCTGACAAGTGTCCATGAGGAGCTCCATCATCTGATCGTCATCGTCCTCATCGCCCTCTGAGAAGCTGGGGGGGAAGTCGGCAGATCTGATTTCGGATGATCTCAAGTAAGGCTTCTACAAAAGGTGGATGATAGGAGGTTACTAGTAGCAGACTAGGAAAAGTCGGGTCCTTGCATGCAGACTAGGAAAAGTCGGGTCCTTGCATGGAGCGCAACAAAACTCACACTTCGGAAGTCCTCATCCATGAGTCCCCTCGCTTCGTCAAGGTTGACGTCCTCTGGTCCGGTGGATTGACCAGAAGACGCTGATTGACCCAATGAAGATCTGGTTCTCACGGCCCTTCCGCTGCAAATGTACATGCGAAGCTAAGCTGTGGGCATCTGGTACCGGCATTCCTTCCTTGAGATGGCCTGAGCTCATTCGAGACAGCTAGACAGCAAACAACTCAAAAATACTCAAAACTTTGTTTCCAGGGTGGCTGCGGAAGAAGCCACGGAAGAATGAGTCACGAGGTTCCTCCTTCTCCTGCGGGTCACGTTCAGCGATCTTGCAATAGGCTTCTTTGAACCCCCGAAGTAGCAAAGTGCCCTGCCCTGGAAGATGT